CTGGCTGGTCACTGGAGATGGCGGTGGTGGGGAAGCAGGAGAGAGGACCAAGAAGCATGTCTGGCTGGGCACCATCATAGTCTGCATTTGGATATTGTAGCCAGTGGCCATGATATGTACCTTCCCAAGTCACACTATAACACTACCTTGGGCACCTCAGTGATTTGAGTTGAAATGTGTCATTGTGTTTAAATGGCTCTAATGCCTTTTAATCCACTGTTGAGCAGGGTATGCTCTAGGCTAGTGATGGAGTTCCTGGCCAATGAGCACTGTTTACAAATGAAGATACAGGGCATTGATAAGGGCCTGATTATATTGAAGAGGCCAATTCTTCCTCATCTTGCCATTTCCTGTTCTGGAATCTGCATGGCCAGTACTGATAAGTTTCAGATGAGGAGGCTGCCCCACCTCTAGGTCCAGGAGGTTTGGCAATGTATTAATCTCTTTGTTTTGGAAAAGACAGGAAGTTGTCTTGACTTTTTTTTTTTCTTGTTTTTTTCCAGCTGGGTTCTCTTTCTTGGCAGAAGGTGCTTGTTAATTATCAGAGTCTCTTCCTGATGGCAAGGAAGGAGATGGAGGGGTTTTTTCAGATAACTGGTCTATTGGAAGAAAGCCTTGGGTTGAGGAATCAGGAGGGAAAATGTACCATTATTCATCCTCAGACGGACCCCTAGCTGAGCATAATGACCTGGAAGCCACCCTGGGAACCACAGATGGATGACAGAGTTAGCACTCTGGGCTCCTCCAGTGTTCGTGACTGGCTGATGATGCTTCCCAAGCCAGCAGTGTCTCTGTCCTCACCCTGCCTTCCGTGTACACTCATGCTAAGCTCTCTGATAGGGCCTGGTGAGTTTTCAGGGCTTCAGAGCAGTGCTAACAAGGACCCATACTGCCAGGCCAGCAATAATGACATATATTGTCTTCTGACCAGTGTTGATGAGGGTGGATGAAATTGCCATGCAAAGCTAGATCAGGGAAGAGCCCTCTATGGGGCAGGTAGAACAGGCAAGCAGAGGTTTCTGGTGCTGTGTGTGTGTTCACTGGCCCCGGTGTTGTCCACATGGAAACAGTGCATGGACAGAGCTGGGTACCACTTCCCAGGGCTTTCTGTGCAGCCTGTGAATTTGGAATGCATATTCACATTGGGTAGTGCCATGGATATAACATGCATTGTCTTATCCTTACAGAACGGTTGCATGAAGAGAAAGGAAACAAATAGCCTTTTGCATTAGGCCACAGAAAGCGTTCCCCAGCATCCATTTCCTGAATTTTCTTTCTCTAGAAGCAACACATCAATAGAAGCATAGGAGTTTATATTTTAAGACTTAAAAAAAGTTCTTCCAAATTAAGGTCATCTCAAACACTAGGTACCATGGATTCTTCCTATGACTGTGACCAACAGGAAGTCCATCCCATCCCCAATCCTTTGCTGCAGCAGAGGAGAGAACAGCATTTATTAGCAAGAGCTTATGCCAGGGTTAGGGGATTTGTGTACAGAATAAACTAGATTAACCTGTGCATTGGGTAAGCATGCACACCACCAAATTGCCACTCTCCCCTCTAAATTTGTAGCACTGTCTCTCTACTGTTCACTTGGCAATTAATCAGTCTTCTGTAGATTCATCATTTCTTTCATGCCATTACCTCAGTTTCTAACACCATCATGTATTCTTATTTAACCGTGGGGATTTTCTCAGGTTGGTGGCAAAAACATTAAAGGAAAAATACTAGAGATAGCATTAACTAATAATCACAAACTTCTTGGAAGGGTGAGGGGTTTTTGCATAGTTTCAGTAGAAGTTTTGACTGAAGGCAGCTTAAATCCCCTTTACGTTTAGGTAATAAGAAAAGCAAATAGCTAGAGTACGTGGATGAGTTTATCAGAATAACTTGTTTACTCATGTGGTCTTAAAATTAGCCTTTGAGCCAGAAGGCCCTCTTTGGGGGAGGTCGACCAGCGAGATTACTTTCCAATGGTGTTTGTTTTAGGCTCAGAACCTGGCCTTTAATCTTTCTCCACAAGTGTGTTGACTTAAAGTCTTTGTTATTAAATCTATACTGAAGAAATGCAGAGAGGGCCAATTATTCAGGGTCATGTAGCTGCAGTCTCTCTCTGTGAATGGCTCACTAGCCCCTAGTCCACTTGTTCACTGGAAATTTGTGTCTGAGTGCATTTATTCATCTGTTATGCAGCTGGGGTCTGTGGGATGGACCCTGGCATTTAACTACTCAACGTGGTTTAACTTTTGTAAATATTTGACCTATCTCTGCAAATGGACTATAGGCTGTTCCAGAAGGAGGTTCTTGGTGTTGTGGCTCATTTAATGCAGTCTATTAAGAGCCTATATTCTTCTTCCCTTGGCAAAAGTCACTTTCTGTTGTTCAGGAGTTTTTATAGTGGTACTCTACTATAGTAGATCCTGGAACACCTGGATCAGGTACCAGAATTATGAGTCAGGTACAATCTGAGTGAGGAAGGACTTGCTCATACATAGTGTTTGTACTTTGAAAGTCCACAGTTATGCCTGTATAATGGGGAGGGAGAGGTCCCAAAGAATACAAACCTTGAAACAATGAAAGAGACTGGCTACTGGCTGTGTGCATTAAATACACAGAAAGTTAAAGCAAGATGGACTACAGGATGAGATGCCTTTAGATGAGCAGGTAAAAATCAAGGCGTCTCCTGTGGATAAAACTTTCCCGGAAACTGACCAAACAGGGAAGACAGAAATGTGTTGAGCTGATTTACAGGAACTGGGGCTGCAGACACCTGAGATATAAAGGTGCTTGCAATGACCTCAGACCATCTGAATGTCTTTGGAGACAGGAGGATAGCACTGTCCTTGACTAGCACCAAACCTAATACTGAGAAGTTTTTGAAACATAACTTTAATGCAACACACAGAAAATGTGTGTTAGGGCACCCACCCAGAGAAAAGGGTCAAGATAGAGTTCTGAAAAAGGACCAGAATCGCTACAAATGTAGATTGGTGCTAAAGTGAATGCAGGATCATAGAAAAATAGAGCCTTGCCCAGGTGTGGTGTCTCATTCCTGCAATCCTAGCACTTTGGGAGGCCGAGGCGGGAGGACATCTTAAAGCCAAGCGTTAGGCAATAAAGTGAGGCTCTGTCTCTATTAAAACATTTTAAGAATTAAATGGACATGGTGGCATGCACCTGTAGTCCTAGCTACTTGGGAAACTGAGAGAGGAGGATTGCTTGAGTGCAGGAGTTTGAGGCTGCAGTAAGCTATGATCATGCCACTGTACTTCAGCCTGGGTGACAGAGCAAGACCCTATCTCTAAAAGAAAAAGTGCATTATATACAAGTATATATAATGTACATATGTAAAATAATTTTATTTACCAAGGAAAAATAGCATCTTAGCATGTAAAGGGCACTTTGAATTCTGTAACCACTGGATTTTTTTTTTACCTGGAAACAGAGACAAAATCGGTAGAGTGACTTGACTAAAATCCATCAGAGACACAGCTAGGTTTAGAATCATTCATATATTCATGCACTCATTCAAAAACATCTGTTGAATACCTAGGGGGCCCCAGCCATGGTTCTAGCCCTGGATCTAGGTTTCTAGACTCCTAGACCAGTGCCCTACCCATCATGAGGCCTACTACCTTGATCTAAATCTGAAAAGCATGTTTGGCGTCAGATTCAGACAAAGATGGGCCCGCTGATCCCCAAGATAAAAAACCAAGCTCACTTCCAGATCTAAAAGAAGAAGATGAGTCAAGGAGGGAGTAGCAGAACTAGTTTTACTGATTCAATTCCAGATACAAATACAACTTAGCATTTTAAAAGCTTATGACACTATATTTGTGTTGGTCTTTACCCAAAATAGGTACTTGGTATACAAACTCTACACACTAGAGATGAGTTTCTGTACCTTTTGAATACAAAGAGTAGAGAGAAGGTGGGGAATGGGGATAAGCCAGGTGACAGGCAGGATGGGGAGTGTGAGAGGAGAGAAAGCTATGAGGAAAAGAAAGGTGCTGTTGACAGGAAAAGAGATTTGCTAGGCTGAAAGAGGACTGAAGGTGGTTCTCTAGTTTTATCTGGTAGAAGCCCATACCTGTCCCACTGGGTATGGAATGAATTCATGGAACTTAAGCTCAAGACAGGCCCCATTTCAGAAGGTTCTTCTGTCCCTGGGAAGGAACAACAAATACAAGAAACATCCAGGCTTCCCTACTTTGGGCCTGGGAACCCTTGCCCATGCTAATCACTGCAACAGCTGATGCTTACAGAGTACTGCTTACTCTTGGCACTGTTTATCTAGCTAATAATTCTGTGGGATAGTGAAGGAAGGTGTTACTATACCTATTTGGAAAATGAGGCAACTGAGGTTCTGGAATATCATGGGCTTGCCTAGAACACAGAGCTATCTATAGGAGAGCCAGGACTCAGTCGTCATCTTCTAACTCCAAGTTGGTCACTTTACCTGCCATGCTATGCTGCTTTACCTGAGGATTGGGAAGGAGTTTGGGATTTAAATATCTCTGAGAAAAGACACACATCAAGAACATTTTGCCTGGCTCCTGGATTTGAACACAGATGAGAAGATGCTAAGTGGGGCCATTGCAATGTGATCTTACTTCCTTGGCTCAGTGGCCTCATTTGCTTGGCTCAGTGTGCATCAGTATTCTCGGGGTTTGTGCCTAGTCTTCCCTAGTTCCAGTTTTCACCATCACAAAGAATAGTCATTAACAGTCAAAACAATACTGTTTTCAACATGGATTAACTGCCAGAGAAACAAGGAAGAAATTGATATTAAGACTTCACTAGGCGTTCTTGGTACATTTGATCCCAGTGAGTTTCTGGTGAGTCTGAGCAATTCTCTAACTGCTTGGGGAGTCCCAGTTCCCTCAAGTTACAAAAGAAATGGGTCAAGACATGGATGGGCCCTGATCACATATATTTTTTTAGGGTATGCTGCCAACATGTGGACATGTGAGTGACAGTACCTGGTCTTGCCTTTTCAGAGCTGCCAACTTCAGGAACTTTACCTTCATCCAGCTAAATGGAGAGTTTTCTCGGGGAAAGGGACTTGATGTTGGAGCCCGCTTCTGGAAGGGAAGCAATGTGCTTCTCTTTTTCTGTGATGTTGACATCTACTTCACATCTGAATTCCTCAATACGTGTAGGCTGAATACACAGCCAGGTATGGATCCCCTCTTTGTCACACTCAGGTGGCACTCAGCCCTCGGGGCCCATGTGTCATTCTCTTTATGGGTCAGTCACTCCAATCTCCTGCTTCTGAATCAGGCTGTTTACCCCAATGGCAAAGAAAGGGAAAACCATCAGTGTTAGTCCATTCTCAAACTGCCAATACAGACATACTCAAGACTGGGTAATTTATAAAGGAAAGAGGTGTAATGGACGCACAGTTCCACATGGCTGGGGAGAACTTACAACCATGGCAGAAGGAGAAGGAGGAGCAAGGGCAAGTCTTACATGACAGCAGGCAGGAGAACATGTGCAGGGGAACTCCTGTTTATAAAACCATTAAATCTCTTGAGACTTATTTACTATCGTGAGAGCAACACAAGAAAACCTGCCCCCATGATTCAGTTACTTCCCACAAGTCCCTCCTGTGACATATGGGGATTCTGGGAGCTACAGTTCAAAATGAGATTTGGGTGGGGACACAGCCAAACCATATCACCATCTGGTTTGATTTCTCCTTTGGGGCTACATCATGGGCCTGTCAGCCACCATACTTCTGGGATTCTTTTCCCAAGTTCATGTTTATAATCTCTCTTCCATCTGCAACTGGGAGGTCAGCTTTTGTATACATTTCCAAGAGAAAGTGTGGTGGGGATGATGTGGACCTGGAAAACTGCCCAACCCTAAACAGAAAGGAGTACCTGTGGGCAGTTACCTAGGGTAGAAGAACTCTTCGCAGAAAGAACCCACAGAACAAAAATGACTTTCACATACTCCACTCATAGGCAATGCTGCTATTCAGCTGATGAGCCCTGGCACAGCCATGCCCATTGTTAAAATATAGAAATTATTCTGTTAAATAAATAGCAACCACCCTAGACTCTGAGTCCAGTCTAACTGCCCAAAGTCGCTCTGCGCCAAAGTCAAAGTCTTAAATGGTTATTTAAGACTACCTCATGAGCCAGCAAGTAAAAGGTTAGTGTTTGGTGGGCGGGGGGGGCACCAGGACCCTCTTTTACACCCACTCCCACGGGTGATGTCCAGTGCCAGTCATGGACTGTATTTCAAATATGATTCTTGTGCTAGGAGATCAGAAATATTTGCAGATCTGACTGTCTGGTCTGCTTGATGCTGTACTTCTAGGACTCATTTTAGAACAGAATAAATGGAAAAGGAAAGGTGGGTGCAGGCTGAGAGCAGTGTTTCACACCTATAATCCCATCACTTTGAGTGGTTGAGTCAGGTGGATCACCTGAGGTCAGGAGTTAGAGACCAGCCTGACAAACATTGTGAAACTCCCTCTCTACTAAAATACAAAAATTAGCTGGGTGTGGTGTCGGGCACCTGTAATGGCAGCTACTCAAGAGGCTGAGGCAGGAGAATCACTTGAACCTAGGAGGTGGAGGTTGCAGTGAGCCAAGATTGCACCTTGCATTCCAGCCTGGGTGACAGAGTGAGACCCCTCTCAAAAAAAATAAATAAATAAAAGTGGGTGCAAATATCTGGGGTGTTTCAGAGGGCCAAATGTCAAGGAACTGTAACTTTAAGTGAATATTTCTTTTCCGGTTTGCAGGGAAGAAGGTATTTTATCCAGTCCTTTTCAGTCAGTACAATCCTGGCATAATATATGGCCACCATGATGCAGTCCCTCCCTTAGAACAGCAGCTGGTGAGTAATTACCCTGCAGATGCCTCTGTGTGGCTCTGTTTAGTGTCTGTCATTACCAAGGGCACCTGACCATGAGCAAAGGTGAGTGGAAATCTGTGCAATGATTCCCTTAGTACGTAGTTTTTAAGTTTGGCAGATGTGCTGGCCTCTGCTCCCAGTGCCTCATTGATTAAAAGTGCTTGCAATATTTAAAGTGGAAAATAAATGGAAGCAGTACCTTACAGAAAGGTAATTTCACACCTTCATAGTTTCCATCAATGGTTTTTGGAAACTAGTATTGTTGCGTTATGGATGCAGCACAGTTTCTCTTGATTTTTACAAAATCCTACAAGGTAACAAAGGTGAGATTTAGGTTCCCATTTGACAGAAGTCAGAAGGGGGTGGCTCACCCGAGAGAGAGAGAGCAATTCCCTGGACCTTACAGGTAAATTAAAGTCTTTGTGAATTTGAAGTAGAAACTCCTAGTGCCCTTCCCATAATGCCACTGTTCCCACACATCACTGTGCATGGGTGGACATTAGCGTTAAAGGAATCACTGGCAAGGTGGCTCTCAAAGGAATATTGAAAGGACTTCTCTGCTAAGATCTGGCTGTATAGGTGATGGATAGTGGATGTACATAGCCCCCAGGGGTCCCTGTAGGCTGAGATGTCTCTGTTGTCACAGGCAGTTGGTCCATTTTGCAGAGAGGCAGTGCAGGCAGCAAAAGGCAAGGCAAGCTGGAAGAGGATCTCTGTGTTGCATGGGCATGGCACCCATGCATGGAATTTCTCAGCTCAAGCTAGTCTGTGATCTTTCCCTGCAGGGAGATGAACCAGGTTTGTCTGAAGCTGTGTTCTGGCTCAGGCTGTATCTCATGGTGGCCCTCCCATCTGAGGGATGTCTGTTCTTCCTTGCTTTGGGTAGGTCTGCCTCTTAGACTATTGAGGACCCCTTAGGATGGAGGAAGGGCATCTGCTGTGGGAACCTGAAGACTTGATGGCACCAGGTCTCTCACGCTTCCATGCAATGGGAGAGTAAACTGATTTCCATTGAAAACACATGTTCTGTGAAATTCTTTCAGTATTGACTTTGTGTGTAAGCTTCCAGAAATAGTGAAACCTGTTCTATCCAGCCCCGTCCTATGCCTTTCATCCTCTTTTTCCCAATTAATCTCTAGAAGCTGATATTATGATATTTTCCAGAAAGTTTCTACTTTCAGGCCCTCAGGATGGACAACATCCATGTCTTACCATATCCCAGCATGGCTTCGTTTTGCGGTGTACTAGATTTACTAATAATACAGTTCCCTTTTCCCCCATTGGAATTTTAATACCACAGATATCCTGTGTATATTTTTTGTACTGTATGTATATCTGTACTTTATACATGAAAACTGAGTTTTTCACACGTTAAGAATCAGTTTTCAGCTGGGTGTGGTGGCTTATGCCTGTTAATCCCAGCACTTTAGGAGGCCAGATGGGAATCACTTGAGGCCAGGAGTTTGAGACCAGCCTGGCCAACATGTGGAAAACCCATCTCTGTTAAAAGAAAAATACAAAAAATAGGCGAGGGTGGTGGCACATACCTGTAGACTCAACTACTCAGCAGGCTGAGAATCACTGGAGCCTTAGAGGGAGAGGCTACAGTGAGGTGAGATCGCACCACTGCACTCCAACCTGGGTGATGGAGTAAGACCCTGTCTCAGAAGAAACAAAAAATAGTATTTTTCTATAGTCATCTGCTACTTACAGTGGAGATATGTCATGATAGATCTATTGTCAGGCAATTTCATCATTGTGCAAACATCATATGGTGCACTTACACAAACCTACATAGCACAGCTAACTACACACCTAGGCTGTGTGGTATAGGCTATTGCTCCTAGGTTACAAACCTGTACAGCATGTGACTGTTCTGAATATTGCAGGCAATTGAAGACAATGGTGTTATGTATCTAAACATAGAAAAGGCACAGGAAAAATACAGTGTAAATGATTTTTAAAATGGTTCCCATGAAGGGAGCTTGTAACACAGGACTGGAAGTTGCTCTGGGTGACTCAGTGAGTGGATGGTGAGTGAATATGAAGGCCTGCAACATTACTGTACACTACTGTAGACTTTATAATCACTGTAGACTTATGTGACACTAAATTTATTTTTTAAAAGTTTTCCTTGGCTGGGCATGGTGGCTCACATCTGTAATCCTGGCACTTTGGGAGGACAAGGCAAGTGGATCACAAGGTTAGAAGTTCAAGACCAGCCTGACCAACATAGTGAAACCCTGTCTCTACTAAAAATACAAAAATTAGCTGGTCATGGTGGTACACACCTGTAATCCTGGCTACTGGGGAGTTCGAGGCAGGAAGATCACTTAAACCCAGGAGGCAAGGTTGCAGTGAGCCGAGATCGTGCCACTGCACCCAGCCTGGGCAACAGAGCAAGACTGTCTTCCACAGGGTGGTGGAGGGGAGGAAGGAGAAAGTTTTCTTTTCCTTAATAATAAGTTAACCTTGGCTTCCTGGATGATCAGCATCTTATATGCAGCCTGTTGTTGATGGAAATGTTATGCAGTACACAAGTTATACTTATAAGAAACCATTTTTAAATCATTTACACCATATTTTTCCTGTACCTTTTCTTGTTCAGATACACATTGAACAAGATAATGTAACACAATGTAATACCATTGTGTTACAATTGCCTATGCTTACAGTTGTGTGATTAAGCAGCACGTGATATCACCCTCATTGAGACAGAAACTTACTTCCTTTCCAGAGTTCTAAGCTTCTAATTGGATGGAAAGTGAAACAGGATACAGGATTTATTTTCTTTCAGCCAATCAGAGTTAAGGTTCCTTTGGTTTTAGGTAATGTATTGTTTTGCATTTGACATAGAATGTGATTAATATTTCCAATTCAAACTCATAAAGACCTTATTTGCTTGCAAGGAATTCTCATTTTACAATCCAGGGGTTTTATCATTGTACTATTATTCTTTCAGAGGAGGAGTTCCAAAGGGAATTAGAGGCACAGTGCAGTTAGGCAGGTTTCTCACATCCTCAGAATTAGTGGTCAAAGCAGAAACCACTCAGATTCCCTGTGTCCTTTGCCAGAGGCTGTGAATTATCCTGCAGTCTCTGATGTTTACTTCTAAATGCAATTTTGACCTTTCCTAGACCATGGAAGTCTGATATTTTGAGTTTAGTATTTATGGCTATTTAGTTTGGTGAAACAGCAGTTCTCTTTGAGATGAAGGATTCCCCCTTCCCAAAAGAAGAGTATGGTTATGTTTTTTACTGGACAAACGAGTTATTGAGCACTTGCTGCCTGCAAAGGACTGCCCTAGGTGCCAGTGGAGAAGTCAGGAGAACTGAAACACTTTGATTTATAGAGGTGAAATGGCTTGTTCAGGATTGCACAGCTAGCTACTGGCAGAGGTCAGGGAAAAATCAGGATTTCTTTATACCAGCACAGAGGAAAGAAATTTGCTTAGGATCTAGATAAGAACTAATGCATAAAGGAGACATCCTGACAAAAATTCCAAAGGAGAAGAGGAAACTATAGAAATTAACATAATGGAGATAGATGATGTAGGTGGTGAGAAGGTATAATAAAAAAGTAATGGTTGGAAATGGACCAATTGGTAGTGACTTCCTATTGAGGGTACATTTTGGCTGAGTCTTGGAAGAGATGCTACCTATATATTAATACGTCCTTGATAGCCTTCTTGGAATACATCATTATCAAAGGTGAAGGGAGAACACACATCCAGAATGTTGCTGTAATGAAAGTTACTTTTGCAAACAAGTGCTAGCCTTTACTAGCATCCCTTTAAATAGGACCACATTAATCAATGTATGTTATTTCTTCTTGTGACAGTTGCCACTGTCATTTGATTAGTGTTTTGCCTGCAGACAAAAGCAAGAACCCACATTTATGACTGTGTGTGTTTCAACTACTGTTGTTTTCCCCTCTAAGTATAGACCATTAGTAATACATACTAAGTGAAACTATGAGATTTTATACTAATATTTAAATTTTTTAGTTTAAACCTTGCTGGTGCTTTAATGTAGGAACAGTTTGTTGAGAAAGGAATGACTATAATCTAAATAAACATTAACTTTAGACGTTTCACATTCCTGGTTCAAGTTTTACCCGTTCCTGTTTAGGTCACCACAGAGCCTCCTACCACTTCTGTCTTTAGCCTTCTTCCCTCCCCTAGACTTTGGTTTTTTTGTTCATTGTCTGCCAGAAATAGATTTCAAAAACACAGATTCATTCAATTTTTAAAAATCTTTTCTGGCACAGAGCCAGAGATGTGCTGGTAAATATTTAACAACCTGTTCCCCGAAAAGAGGGTGCAGGGAAAAGACCTGATTTATAGCATTTGCCATTTCCATGGTGTAAATACTCCCACCATGGCCTATTTCAGCCTACCAGCCTAACGTCACTGAACACGGGTTGGAAAGAGATTTGCGCAATCCTTGTGAGCTGGTGCAAGCTGGCCCTAGCACAGTATTGCAAGCCCCAAGTCCTTGTTGGGATTCATTGTTCTCCACAGACTGACTCTCAGATGTGTGACAGAGAAAATATCTGTAAACCCCAGAACCTGACACATGGTACCAGCTCCGTAGTCACCCAAGCCAGCCCTGCTTCCCAGTGAGCACATCTGTTGTGTCTCCATGGCTGTCACTGCAACTTACGGCCACCTCCTTGCCATTTCTAATGCCCACAGCATCCCATGGACACATCTTGGTCTGCCATGTGATCTCGTCCCTCAGTTAAATCTAATGACTTTGTGATACTGTTCAATGTGTGCACAGCGTGCTGGCTTCTGTCTTTCCCTCTCTCTGTTCACACCCTTGACCTCTCAAACTCCCTTCGGAAAGTATTTTACCATTGCAGTTTCATTGAAATCTTTTTGTCAATTGCCAAATGATCATGGCACATCCTGTGCATCCTTGTATTCTGTTTTTATTTATTCAGGAAACATACACTCACTAAGTACCAAAATTAATATG